GTGACACCCACACCACCAGTGACACTCCACCCCACCAGTGACACCCACCCCACCAGTGACACCCACACCACCAATGACACCCACACCACCAATGACACCCGCCAATTCACCAGTGACACCACACAGTGACACCCACACCACCAATGACACCCACACCACCAGTGACACTCCACCCCACCAGTGACACCCACAAGAGTGACACCTACACCACCAGTGACACCCACACACCACCAGTGACACCCACACCACCAGTGACACCCACACAACCAGTGACACCCACACCACCAATGACACCCACACCACCAGTGACACTCCACACACCAGTGACACTCCACACCACCAGTGACACCCACACCACCAATGACACCCACACCACCAGTGACACCCACACCACCAGTGACACCCACACCAATTGTGTGACACCCACACCACCAATGACACCCCACACCACCAGTGACACCCACACCACCAATGACACAAACACCACCAGTGACACCTACACCCACACCAGTGACACCCACACCACCAGTGACACCCACACCAATTAATGACACCCACACCACCAGTGACACCTCCTCACCACCAGTGACACCCACACCACCAATGACACCCACACACCACCAGTGACACCCACACCACCAATGACACAAACACCACCAGTGACACCCACACCACCAGTGACACCCACACCACCAATGACACCCACACCACCAGTGACACCCACACCACCAGTGACACCCACACCACCAGTGACATCCACACCACCAGTGGCACACACACCACCAGTGACACCCACACCACCAGTGACACCCACACCACCAGTGACACCCACACCACCAGTGACACCCACACCACCAGTGACACCCACACCACCAGTGACACCCACACCACCAGTGACATCCACACAACCAGTGACATCCACACAACCAGTGACACCCACACCAGCCAGCCAATGAAAACTCAGAATATCAGAGCACTCCCCTGGAATTAATCTAGAAACACATGCTTCAATAAGTGGGTTGGGAAATTGGAATTGCAATGGTTTTATTAAGAATTACATTAATTGTAGGGAGGATGACTATATACAAAATATTTCAACTCGATTGTAGAAGGGGATGCAACACCCCCCGCCCCGTCCGGTTCTGTGCCCCTGCTGAACGGCATGTCACCAGATGTTGTACAGTACTAGACTTTAGAAGCGAGATGCTTCCCATGACCCTGAGCACTCACACTGGTGCATAAGATATTATCTTGCCATAATCATTTTTAGCCATTACATATCATGCATTTTGGATAAAGTAGATAGTGTCATCAGCTGGTCTACGGGTGAGATTTGTACTGGACGAGCTGCCATTGAAAGAGTTAACAGTTATTCAGTACAATATATGGATTTACTGTATTTGTGATTATTAATATTAATTTAACATTTGTATAAGCCAATGAGCTGCGGGGGGCTCTTAGCCTTATACCGTCAGTGAAAAAAAAATCGGACACCCACACAACCAGTGATACCCATACAATCATTGCTATTCACAACACAACCTTATGTTATTGCACACACAACCAGTGACACCCAAAACCGATGCTTTTATCACTACCCACACAACTACCGTAGTACAGTAGCACCCGTAACACAATCTTATGTCAGTACTCGTACAAACAGTGCTTTTCTCCAGGTACAATTTGAATATTTGTGGCCATGGTAATGTATTAAGAGAATGATCCAAATTAGAACTTGAAATTATCTTTATTTTACTTTATTTTCCCTAATGGCCACCAACTAGAGGTGGCCATACCAAGGGAAAGAGGCCAGTGGTCTGTGTATGACTCCTCCATTGCTCTTGATAATTTTGTCTAGGGCTATTTTGAAGCCCAGTTCTGTACTGCTCTCAATTCCACAGCTTGGGCTGTTAGACCATTCCATTGATCTATCACCCTCTGTGTGAATAAGTATTTCCTTATGTTCGGAGTGTAAATGTAAAAGAAGCTGTGCAGATGCCTTGGCCTCATAGTCTGACTACATACAGTGGTCCCTCTGTTAACGAACACCTCGGTTAACAAAATTTCGGTTAACGAATTAACTTCCATAAGAATCTTCAATTCGGTTAACGAAAAAAAATTTGATTAACGAAATCCTTACGAAAATCACGTTTTGTTTTGAACATCAGCTGATAAGCTGAGGAGGTACTCAGCCAATTCAGTGATCTCTTTTATGTTTATATTCAAACTAATCACTATCTTATAAGAATTCCAGCAATGCAAATTAAATTTACCCCGGTCACTTCTATTAAATTTTATAACCCTCCCTCCCTACCCCCTACCCGTCACATTCCTGAGAAGAGTTTTGGGAAAAGGACTAGGTTTATGGGTTTAAAAATGAATAATACCTCAGACTAAAGTTAGGATAATATAATTTGCATTGCTGAAATCCTTGCAAGACAGGGAATAATTTAAATATAAAAATCATATATTTTGCACAAGAGATAAAATTAATCACTTGTATCACGTTACAGTAGTGATTTAAGAGTTCCAGTGTATATGTATGATATACTATATAGTGATTTAGGGGAATTTTAGGAGTGTTTCTGACTTTATGCATTTTTGGCTTTACTTTGTATATACTTTTCTGTGAGCTGGAACCAATTACCCAATATCCCATTGAAACAATGGTTTCGGTTAATGAAATTTTCGGTTAATGAATGACTTTCTGTAACGAATTGTGTTCGTTAACCGAGGGACCACTGTATATGAATTTCTTCCTGTCTGGGTTACCTAAGAACTGGTTGATGGATACAGGGGGGTATTTACAAAATTACAAATGGACTTACGGTGGACATTGTACAGTACACTACAGTACTCATAATAGCTTTTGCACCATTAAACACATCAAGATACCATGATGATTTGTTAATCACATTCTAGTTACCTGAACTAAATTATTTAGTTGCCTTTTTTTCCCTCTCTCTTTTTATAGTTATATACCAGAAATTAAGATATTTATTTGCATTGGACTCAAAATTTTCTCTGTTTGGTCAGAGTCAAGAAGGCTCTTCAAGCCAGTAAAATGTTTTTGTTCTTTAGGCACTCTTTAGTATCAGTGCTCAAAACAATGCTTTTGGGGAGAATAAAATGCATCATTATTTATGGGTATTACTGTAATTATAGCACCTGGAAAATTACAAATTACAAAAAAATATGAGTACTGTATTGCAGGTTGATTACATGTGATTGACTCGAATTGGCGAGGTCATTGTCGACAAATGCCATTATCAAATACTGTATGCGCATATGCACCCACATATTATATAATGTACTACGCACTTTGTTTATGTAAGACTTACGATTTTGTGGTGTACTGTTACATTACCCCAATCCTCAGTGAGATATTGAAGGGGATGTAAACACTAACATCTCATGAAATACACTTTAATGTATACAGTACAGTATTTTTGTTTTAATAGTTCTCATTATTACCTTCTATGTAGCATAATCATCGAAGACATATTGCTCCTGTTTTATCTGTGTGTCCTTGCATGCATCTGTCTTCCTTAAATCACTCTGAGGAACATAATACTTTTGGGGGTTTGATATTGTTCAGCAGTTTTAACGACCGGTATTATTATTGAGTCGTACTAAGATAGTGACATAAAGGGGTTGTAGCACCTGGGGGGTTTAGTACCTTCATATGACTACAGTATACAGGGGTGGGAAGGTCTAGGTGATGAACAGGCTGTATAGGGGAGTAAAGGAATTACGTACAGTAGTTTATCCCATATTTAACTTGTACAGGTATATGTTATATACAGTACTGTACTATACTCCTCTCTCACAAAGATGACATGTGATAGTTTTTATCATCCTTGTTGAAATTATTAGTACAGTATATAGGTCTCTTATATTTTAACACATTATTGTTGCAAAAAACTTATCTTGTTTGTATTAAGGAAATTTGATTACGGTAATTGTCATGTGTTGCTAATTTTTAAGATGAAATGTAGATGGAAAAGATTTTTATTTATAAATTTCTTATTACGTTTTGGTAGAATGTTAAAACTGTGCCTGTTGGATAAAATCAAGTTTTCCTTATAAAGTCTTCCTCAACAGCATCTCTCAAAAAGATGCACATGATGTACAGGACACTCATATCTTCACTTGTTGTGGCGTTACTTCTAAACTCAGTATAATTAGCTCAGAAGGCAATTACCTATATAGTAGGCTAACCCTTGATCTAAAATACCTTAAGTTACCATGTTATTAACTCCTGAGCTAGCATGATTCACAATGAAGCCACACTACTGTGCTATGATCTTGTTTATACAATCTAATGGTCATGCCCAACCCTATCTGATAAAGTTTATTTTACCCGTCCCCATCCCGACCTCACTAATCTATGTGTGTGTCACTTGTGTTCTTTTATTCACATGTGTATATTGTCTTTATTTCAAACATTCTTCTGTGGATCTCATTCAAATGCTTTCCTGTCTAAATATTTATGTTTGTATCCTCTTGCTTTAACAACTGCATTTCTGTCATAATGCTTTATATGCTGCTCTCATAATGTCTTCTTTACCTCAATACTTCATTTGCTTCTGATTGCTGTCTTCTGTGTTTCTTAAATTTTCTGTGTGGGCTTTATTCTGTTCTGTTATACTGTACCAAATATTTTCATTCTTTCAAATTAATTGTCTTTTCAATATTTTATGCCCTTTACATTTTTCCTATACTATGTATGCCATGTTCACTTTATGGCTTTTGCTGATTATTGCTGTCTTCTGCTTTTGCTGAATATGCTTATTAATTTTATTAACTGATATCTATACTATTTTCTTTTTCAACTTATCTCATGACAATTGTATACTGTACTGTACTTGCCCTCCCCGTCACCTGTCTGAGAAAAACACTCCTTCCTTACAATGTACTGCCTTGACACTTACATTATCTCTCTATGTTAACAACACCACCCTTACCCACGAGCGTCCTGCCCCGCCCTCACTACACAGAGAGACCGCGAACGTGGGCGGAGAGTAGTAGCCAGGAACCCTCGCCGACTATTCTCTGGTATAGAGGAGGCGGCAGTGGCCCACGCTCGCACCGTCATGGAGCTGGTCGACGATATCGCCTCCACCCACACTTCAGACGCCATCATTGCAGGAGACTATATCCTCCAGATTCAGGTGTGTGTGTGCAGGTCAAACACACCAGTTCCCCCACCGGCTCTAAAGTAAATCATACTGTGTTAGTTTATCTACCTAAATTTGTAGTTTATTTACCTAAATTTATATAAAGATTAAATGTTTTATGATGATTGTCACAGAATTTTTAGTAAAGTCTAACTTAAAAAGATTCTATATTATTATTAGTTGCATTGTGTATCATTTGATGGATATAAGATAACTTTTATCTTGGCTTGTCTTTCTCTGGGCGGCCGCTGCCTCTTGTTGTACCACTCCATTTGCTGACCCATCCCCTCTCCCACTGTTTGACCTGCACGACACCAGACTCGTAGCTCCTCCTCCACCTTAAGTACTGTCTTACACCTGCTTACTTGTCACAAGGAAAGGACGTTTAGCTGATGTTTTCGACGTTCATCATTTAGTAATACAATCTGGTAGTTGTATAATGAAACACAGTTCAGTCTTAATCCTTTGGTATTGAAGATACTGGACTGAATTGTATGCATTTCAGGTGATTATTGTGAGAAGTATTTCTACAGTTATTATTACATGTGGAACATTATTACACAGAAAAAGAGATCTGCTTTTATGAAAAAAATCAGAAAGTGTTTGTATTTTACCAACCTTTATTGAATTAAAGAGTAAAAAAATATTGATTTAATTATAGAACAAGTTTGGATGACTGTAACCTTTCATAGGCTTTAAAAAAATAGGAACGTTCCTATTATTGTAGTAGAGTACAGTTGGATAACAAATGTATTATAATGAAGAGCTATCCGTCCTTTTAAAACTCTAAATAAAGGGAAGGTATGACCTTTTGCACATACTGTACTGTATATGAGAGTTTGGCTTAACTGCCTTGATTGTAGTAGAATCTGTGAAAGTATCTTTTCTCTCAACAGGTTTCTCATGAATAACTTGGAGCTGCATCATACACTCATCTCCCCCTCTGCTTCCCCCTGGCCTCCATGACTGAGACTCCATCCACTGTACCACTACGACAACATGTGTTTGAAATTATGTTACTTTCTTAAGGGTTCTTATACGAACTTACATTTTTTCTTCTGAAAGACGTTGCGTACATTAACAATCTTTGCGTTTTTTTTTACGCCGATCGTTGTGGATGGAGTGCACTAGAGCTGGCAAAATGATAGGATGAATTCATGATGTATTTGTTATGTAATAGCAAATGCTATTTTTGTATTTTGTTTTAGGACAGTGGTATTAGCTTCTCCCTGAATTGACAGTTGATCACAGGGCATATGAAATATGAGAGCCCTTGCATGATGAGGCATAGATAATTTTAAATATTTGTCCTTGCCATTTTGGTAGCTCTATAGTGAACTGACTTACCTGTGGCGTCACTGATGCGCCCCTACCCCCTCAAAAATACCCCGGCGTGCCTTCACCCTCTTCTCCAGTGTCTAACGCGGCCCTCTCTACTCTCCCTGACACAGCGCCGCCCCGGCTACCACCGCTTCTACAATGAGCAACTCTTTTCCCGACAGATCCAGCACGCCGTGGCCACTCTGAAGCAGGTACAGTGCCGCCCCCGGGTCTGAGGTGCAGGAGACTTACTCAGGACCTCTGAGTTATTACCAAAGGAACCTCCCAGATACTAGCCAATAATTCCTAGCATTCTTACTCAGGATCTCTCACCCAAACTCATATGTGTATTTGGAATTGCTTGTCTTGGTAGAATGCAAAAATATTTTATATCATTAGTGAGTGGCATTGGGTTAATATGAATCAGAGTGTCTGTTGCAGTGCTCAGTATGTAAAGAACTTTTAAAGTCATTTCTATAATGCAGTGAGAAGAGTTTAGTTATAATTTTTCCTTCTGGGTTCCTGTCCTCTGTGATGATTCCCAGTGATGCTCATCAAGACACCCATTTATCCAGTATCCATAACTTACCATATATTAATTTTATGTGTTTCTTTGAATAAAGGTGCAATATATATATATATATATATATATATATATATATATATATATATATATATATATATATATATATATATATATATATATATATATATATATATATATATATATATATATATATATATATATATATATATATATATATATATATATATATATATATATATATATATATATATATATATATATATATATATATATATATATATATATATATAATATATATACACACACACACACACACACACCTGTATATGGTGTAAGGAAGGTTAAAAACCAGCCAATCTAAAGCACATACAGCATTTAAGTTTGTGACTTACAGTATCATATTATGGATGGATGAATGGACGGTAACAAAATTGACCCATTGCCACAATAATTCAAATAATTCCACTTGTACAATGTAAATAACTGATCTGACACTGGTTATTGAAATTAACAGTGAGAATTTTTATTCTAATGCTTTATTGGTAACCTACATAGGTATTATTCCCCTAAAGTATATTTCATGAATCCATAGACTGATGACTTAATTTCCCCTCTCCTGCCTGAGATTGGAAACTAGGTTGGAAATATATTGGTTCCTGTTCTTGGAGGGTCCAACACCTGGTGGGTCCCTGCACCACTGACCTAGGGTGCTCCTGACCCTGTCTGTGCTGAACTTGATGGTCCCTCACTCCGATATCCCTGGGACTCAGTGGTGACGTCAGAGTACATTTATTTGTCCTTTTTTGAATCCTCGTTTATGATTTTGGGACCCGGGCAGTAGGGCGTGATCCTACTTGTGCCACGTGTCCCCGGTCGCCGCGCCCCTGACGACCAGGGCGTGGGCGCCACGCCCCTGTGTACCGTCATCCCTTAACCCTCTCTCCGGACGTCCAGGGCTACCCGTTTTATCGTTTCATGGATATTTTTTTCCAATTTTTATTACCCTTGTATCAGTGTGTATATATTCTGAAAAACACGAATTACATTTTTGATTAATCAATATGTTCTGTGTGAAAATATGGACATATATACACATTTAGATGTATAGGTATGCAGATGAGTAATGTAAGCTACACAGGTTTATACAGGTCAGCTGTGTTGGAGACTCCTCTTTTGTGTTGTGTTGTGTTGTCTGTTGGGAGTTAGAGTTGCTTCTGTTAAAGTCTTGTATTGTTAAAATGAATAGTGTACCTATTTTTCTATCTCTTACTGTGAATGTATTTGCTGGCAAAACACTAGGGGCTATTCAAGTTATGTTCTACCTAAAAATAAATGTGGTGAGAGCAACAGTGCTCCTGCCTGCTTCCTCCTGCCAGAGAATCCTATGTTAAATAAAGTCATTTCTCCTGCCAATTGAACTGGGCATGAGAATGTAATAGTCTGTGGCCTTATGAATTTGATGGCATGTACCCTTGTAGCTCCCAACACCCCAAGACCCTCCACCTCCCTCTGGTTGCAGGCAGTGGAGAAGTTCAGCGCCAACACCCAGGAGATTAGTGCCTCACTGCGAGCTTTCACCCAGAAGCTGCAGGAGACAGAGTTCCCAAATGATGTCGCTTCAACAGAGGAACTTCTTCGTTCTCAGGTGAGATTCTTATTATCATTAACTTAAAATACAGTAGTGTATTCCACCATTTTTTTTAATATAGTGTATAACTTCATAATTATATCACATCAATCACTCAATCATGAGTACCGTCCACATATTGTGGGTTGGTGACCACAGTCCTCCACTCTAAACATTCTCAGGCTGATTTTACCAATCCTCCAAGGTTTTGTATCTCTCTGGGGGACTCATTTTTTCAATTTAATTTATCCATCCCGGTCTCTGCCTTCCCTGACCCAATACTTTTCTTTGACGCAGTATTGGACTCAGGCGTTTTTTGCATAGTAAAAAGTAATTACTATTGACCTCAGAATATCTCCTAATATCAAGTGCACATGGCTTCAAAATGTCCTCAAAATGGCCATGATATTGGACAGATTCAAAATATTCTCTAGGGGGCTTACACCCCCCCTCCCCCCCCAGCTGGGTGGGCTCGCTGTGCTTGCCATGTTCCCCCACCCACAAAGTTCTTCTTGGACCCCCCCTTTTTTTTTTATTCGTGGATCTGCTCCTGCCTTGTCAAAAGCTTTTCAAAATTAATTCTGTAAAGGAGATGAACAAATTTCTTTGGAGCTTTAAACCCTTTCACTCAAAATTATCAAACCAACTGTAGCTTCTCTACTTCCTTTTCCCTTTCTAAATCAATTTTTGCTCAACTGATAATTCACTTTCTAATATAAGTCATATTCTGCTTAAAATTATTTTATATAAAACTTGGCAGGGATGACTTAAGCTTATTGTTCTAAACTGGGTGCACTCTAAGGGTCCTGGCTTTTTAGGTAATAATACAAATACTGTATACTTGATTTTATTTCAGATAGTTCAGGACCTAACACCATGTGATTTAGAATAGTGTAGTACGCATTAGAAAAAATAATTGTTTAAAGGATTTTTTTTTTTTTTTTATTGTTGATGCCTTCTGCTAGGTGACTCCTTTAGTTGATCGATCATCACACCACACCCTCTTTGACAACTATAACTGATATTGTTCATTCCTCCCTATTACAGTCATTACTCCCAGGAGAGGGAGATTAAAAGTCAAAGTTACCTTCTAATGTCAGCAGGTCTTATTAGAGTTGAGTTACCTTGTCAGTACTCTCATACTGAGTAATCTGGTCAGTACCTCTTATACTGAGTTATCTGGTCAGTACCTCTTATACTGAGTTATCTGGTCAGTACCTCTTATTGTGACTTCTCTGGTCAGTACCTCTCATACTGAGTTATCTGGTCAGTACCTCTTATACTGAGTTATCTGGTCAGTACCTCTCATACTGAGTTATCTGGTCAGTACCTCTTATACTGAGTTATCTGGTCAGTACCTCTTATACTGAGTTATCTGGTCAGTACCTCTTATACTGAGTTATCTGGTCAGTACCTCTCATACTGAGTTATCTGGTCAGTACCTCTCATACTGAGTTATCTGGTCAGTACCTCTTATTGTGACTTCTCTGGTCAGTACCTCTCATACTGAGTTATCTGGTCAGTACCTCTTATTGTGACTTATCTGGTCAGTACCTCTTATTGTGACTTATCTGGTCAGTACCTCTCATACTGAGTTATCAGGTCAGTACCTCTTATTGTGACTTATCTGGTCAGTACCTCTTATACTGAGTTATCTGGTCAGTACCTCTTATTGTGACTTCTCTGGTCAGTACCTCTCATACTGAGTTATCTGGTCAGTACCTCTTATTGTGACTTCTGGTCAGTACCTCTCATACTGAGTTATCTGGTCAGTACCTCTTATACTGAGTTATCTGGTCAGTACCTCTTATTGTGACTTCTCTGGTCAGTACCTCTCATACTGAGTTATCTGGTCAGTACCTCTTATACTGAGTTATCTGGTCAGTACCTCTTATTGTGACTTATCTGGTCAGTACCTCTCATACTGAGTTATCTGGTCAGTACCTCTTATACTGAGCTATCTGGTCAGTACCTCTTATACTGAGTTATCTGGTCAGTACCTCTTATTGTGACTTCTCTGGTCAGTACCTCTCATACTGAGTTATCTGGTCAGTACCTCTTATTGTGACTTATCTGGTCAGTACCTCTCATACTGAGTTATCTGGTCAGTACCTCTTATACTGAGTTATCTGGTCAGTACCTCTTATTGTGACTTATCTGGTCAGTACCTCTCATACTGAGTTATCTGGTCAGTACCTCTTATACTGAGTTATCTGGTCAGTACCTCTTATTGTGACTTATCTGGTCAGTACCTCTCATACTGAGTTATCTGGTCAGTACCTCTCTATTCTCACTGAGTTATCTGGTCAGTACCTCTTATTGTGACTTCTCTGGTCAGTACCTCTCATACTGAGTTATCTGGTCAGTACCTCTTATTGTGACTTATCTGGTCAATACCTCTCATACTGAGTTATCTGGTCAGTACCTCTTATACTGAGTTATCTGGTCAGTACTTGTGACTTCTCTGGTCAGTACCTCTCATACTGAGTTATCTGGTCAGTACCTCTTATTGTGACTTATCTGGTCAGTACCTCTCATACTGAGTTATCTGGTCAGTACCTCTTATACTGAGTTATCTGGTCAGTACCTCTTATTGTGACTTATCTGGTCAGTACCTCTCATACTGAGTTATCTGGTCAGTACCTCTTATACTGAGTTATCTGGTCAGTACCTCTTATTGTGACTTATCTGGTCAGTACCTCTCATACTGAGTTATCTGGTCAGTACCTCTTATACTGAGTTATCTGGTCAGTACCTCTTATTGTGACTTCTCTGGTCAGTACCTCTTATACTGAGTTATCTGGTCAGTACCTCTTATTGTGACTTATCTGGTCAGTACCTCTCCTACTGAGTTATCTGGTCAGTACCTCTCATACTGAGTTATCTGGTCAGTACCTCTTATTGTGACTTATCTGGTCAGTACCTCTCATACTGAGTTATCTGGTCAGTACCTCTCATACTGAGTCATCTGGTCATTACCTCTTATAGTGACTTATCTGGTCAGTACCTCTCATACTGAGTCATCTGGTCATTACCTCTTATAGTGACTTATCTGGTCAGTACCTCTCATACTGAGTTGTCTGGTCATTACCTCTTATACTGAGTTATCTGGTCAGTACCTCTTATACTGAGTTATCTGGTCAGTACCTCTTATTGTGACTTATCTGGTCAGTACCTCTCATACTGAGTTGTCTGGTCATTACCTCTTATACTGAGTTATCTGGTCAGTACCTCTTATACTGAGTTATCTGGTCAGTACCTCTTATACTGAGTTATCTGGTCAGTACCTCTTATTGTGACTTCTCTGGTCAGTACCTCTCATACTGAGTTATCTGGTCATTACCTCTTGTAGTGATTTATCTGGTCAGTACCTCTCATACTGAGTAAAATAAAAAGAAAAAAGTTACATATATCTTCTCAAAATGTTGAGTTTAAAAATAACCATAACACAGGCCTGGTGGCTACAGTGATAAGTCTATCTTGGAAACAATCCAGTCAGCGATGTTAACAGCTGCATACAGTATGTGAAGAAAAAAAAATCTGTAAATCTTCATTTGTACTGTACCAGGTATTTGTAGATTTAAAGATAAATGTTGAAGGTATGAAATTAATAGATAGTAACTTTTCAGGAAGAGTTGGGTGCCTGCCTTACAAATGCTAATGGTCCCTGGTTATCATCATCAGTACAGTACTTATAAGTCCAGCTTTATATATACATTTTTTTTTAATACCTGTAATTAAAAATAAAAATGTGTTTTATTAAGCATTAATATATTTGTAATTCTGAAGGTGGGATAGGTAGAATTTAGCCTACTATAGACAACAGCCTATGGAGACTGCAACTTCACATTTAGGAACCAGCCTGAATTTTGTAGCCATTTTGTAGAAAAAAAATTGCATCTTATACAGTACTAGATATCATAAAATACAGTACAGTACTGTACTTAAAATAATGATATGGCTAGTTTACTCTTATCATACTAAATGCCTTTACTTGGTCTCCATACTGATGTTCTTTCATCATGTTGGCATACTGTGTATGATTTGCCCCTCTACTATTGGTGTGACCTAAATGCATACTCTTGCATTTCATAATGTTGAAACTTAATAAATAGCCACTCCCTTACCACTCCTGAAGCCAATAGAGATCCTTCTGTAATGCTTCACAGTCCATTTGGCTCTTGATTCCCTTGTACATGTATACTTTGTCATCCACAAACATTTGTATAGAGGAATAATTAGCACCTAGCATGTCATATATTAAAACAAATGAACAACAATGGTCCCAGCACACTTCCCTGTGGCACCCTGCTTGTCATGGTTACACACAAAGATTTTGTGCCTGCATGTGCACACACACACACACACACACACACACACACACACACACACACACACACACACAGAGTAGTCATGAATAAAGTCTTTGATCAATGCCCTTTCACTTTAATTATTATCAGCCTTTCATGAGGCACACGATAAAGTCTCGGTTTTGTCAATGCATGCTCCAGGTTCAGTGTCCACACATTCAGGACCTAAAGTAATCATATGAAGGAGGAGCTTCTGGGCATAAAACCGTGCTGATAATCCTTTAAGAGATTGTTGCATTGTAGATGCTTCAATATAGTGTTGCATATAATTCTCTTCAGAACATTACATTTATCAAAGACAGTACCTGTATTGTACAAACACAATACAAATATTGGATCCTACATCATATTCATTCAAGGCCAAATACACCTTGACTTGGTACAGTAATATACAGTACAGTGGTTTGTTCAGGTGGGGTTGTGAGGTGCAGCATTTTCTTAATTGTCTTTACAACTTCAAGGGTAACCAGGATCTGTTTTTCTTAGTTCAAATGTCTTAATTATATTTATTTGCCAACAGTGTGCTGAATACAGTGTGCTGAAGGATGACCTATTATCAGCATCGCGGCATGGGGAAACATTACTCAACTGCATCAAGCGTCCAGGAGAACCCCGATCAGCGCGCCTTTGTCCTGACAAGCTAATTAATGTAACTGCAGTGGAACGCCTTCTGGTTCAGTTGGAGGAAACGGAAAGAACTTTTGATGAGTTTTGGACAAGACATGAAGGAAGACTAACACAATGTCTTCAGCTGAGACGCTTTGAAACAGATTTTAGAGAATTGCAGGTAGGTGAAGGTTATTTTGTGCAGTCCAGAACAGTTGTTTTAGGCACACACTCAAACCATCCTTTGGGTGACATGACACAGTTCAACTTGGCAGTCACCCAGCTGATTTACAGATGTGAGGTTGCCATGCTGATTGGTGTGTATGCTATAACATCACTTCGGGAGGTAACACTGCCATGCAGTTATAGTCCAGTAATCCAGCTGCCATAGGCAGCATCTCGAGGCATCCACCAGCATCCGGCTTTGTGTGATGCTATGCCGAGGCAACTGCACAACCGTTTACTCCTACTTGTGTTCAATAGTTATGTTTACTCAATTGTATTATATCCACTTCACATCTTCATTGCAAAAATATGTTTCCTATTAAAATTTGTTGCATTATAACCAATTCTTGTTGTGAAAGCACGTGTTATAGGAGATTGACTGTACAGTGGTCCCTCGGTTAATGAGCACAATCCGTTCTAGAAGGTTGCTCGTTAACCGAAAAACTCGTTAACCAAAACCATTGTTTCACTGGGTTTTTGGGTAATTGGTTCCAGCTCACCAAAAATTGCCTAAATTCAACAAAAAAGGTAGAAAAGTACACTTACTTTGAGGTGCGTATGTAGAAGGCTCCTGGATGATGATGATGATGATGATGATGATGATGATGATGGGAATTAGAATGGGGGTGGAGGAGAAGGGAGAAGAGAAGGCATTGGGGGTGGAAGAGAAGTCGCCCAATGGCGCCATTTCACCCATAAAATTTTAGTTCTCTTGGTGTAATTCAAGATTATTTTCTTTAAATCAACACTGCACTGCATTATATATTGTCAGTATGTAAAATAAATTTCAAAATGACCAATAATTTGCTTGCAAACACAGAAAAAAGTGTTTAGTTGAAGAGTCTCAAGCAAGATGTTACCTCCACTGAAAAGACACAAAGACTGACGCCTGTATGGTGTGTTGGCAGGCTGGATGGCGCACATGAAACTAGTGACCTTACCTTCAATTATGTTCAATAATTGATAAAATGAATAAAAAAATTTAATATTAAACTTTTAAAATTATTGAATAGTATAAACTTTTTGATATTTACTAAAATGGTAAGGAATTTAAGCCTTAGAACCGATTACTGTATTGGCGGACTAATACTACAACTGGTGGACCGCCAAATGCAAGCGAAAACATGTTCAGGTCGGCTCGTAAGAAACTCGTTAATCGAGGGATTGCTCGTTTACCGAAGTTAAGAATCTTATGGAAGGCAACTCGTTAACCAAGGGACCACTGTACACCAGCCTCTCACTTAACACAGGTTTGTTCAATACGGATTTGCTCGAACACGTTTTTATATATATTTTTTATTACCACCCAGTATAGCTTAATACAGGACTCTGATTCACTTGAACAGGATGAGCCGGGCTAACACTAGAAAATTTGACCGAGTGGTAAGTTAGAACACGTTTCGTGTGGGCCATTTGAGCCATCTGACAGCCGGGTCCATTACAGTCCACGTGAACCCAGTATTTATCAAGTGCTTGGTCCAGCTTCAACCAAAAACTTCGCTTGGATTAACGTCAGTTTTTTCGTGGATTTCGCTTAGGGACACTCCAGCAAAGAAGAATAGGACCACGATTACCCTGGAAATTAAGTTAGACATTCTTCAGTGACTAGAGAGAGGCCAATCCCCAGCATTTGTCGGACGTAATTTTTCCGTGGAAGAGTCGGCCATCCGCACCATCAAGAGGAATATTGAGAAGATGAGAGCTGCTGTGCTGCAGTCTACTTCACTATCTGCACAGAAAACAACAATAGTAAGTAACCCAAGACTGGAGAAAATGCTGAGTGTTTGGGTGGAAGACTTAATCAAGAAAAGGAATACCTCTCAATACTCCCTGATTTGTACAAAGGCACGCCAGTTATATGAACATGTTGGGCAACTGGAGGTAGGCCCTTCAGACAACAAGCCTTTTGTAGCCAGCAAGGGATGGTTTAACAACTTCAGGAAATGCCAGTGCCTCCACAACATCATGTTTAATGATTTTGGTAAATGATTGAGTGTTAGTGAACTACTTTAGAGTCATACGATGTCTTTGAACTTTGATTTTGGAGTGTTTTTGGTGTGTGGGGGGTGACCTTTTGGGGTTCACCTGACACATCCCCTATCTCCCCATGTTTTAATGGGTTCGCTCGTCATGGCATTTTCTGGGAACGCAACTGCTGTGTTAAACGAGGGGGCAGCTTATCTAACTTTAGGTTTGGGAAGGTAAAAGTAGTAGAGTTTACTGCTGATCACTCTGCCAAAAAGGGCTTTTGTTTATTATTTGCTTCATCTGCATTACCGCTAATTGGCTGTTAGGCATACAGGTCCCTCATTTTATCAGAAACGTTCCTGTCGTGCAATGTTTTTCAGTTGAACTTCTTTGGATGTGAGTTATTAAGTACAGTGAACCCTCACTTTACGCGGTTAATTCAACCCACGGCGGCCCACGTAAAGTGAGAAACGCGTAAAGTGAACAACATAACATATGGGATTAATTGAAATAGAGACCGGGCCGACCCCCAAACTCCACTTTTTCAGACACAATACCTACGTTGTAGTAAAAAATAACTTCTTAATTTTATGATGGTATGCACACACAATTAATAATTAAGAGAAATATCAATAATATTAGGTTTTTTAACACTTACATTAGTAGAAAAGATGGCTGGGCACACGGTGTTGGTTCCGAGGCAGAGGGCAGATTATTGGCCCTCACCTGTATCACTTGTATCAATTGTATCACTATCCACCACAGAGGCTTGCAGGGCCTCTTTGTCAAACCCCTCAAAGTCCATATAAGTCAATATCCTCACTATCATTATCACTATCACTGACTTGGGCCGGCTGTGGTGGGTGGCGGGTGAAGAACTCGGTAATGTTTTGATGACTGGGCGACCTTGTGCGCACCCTGCTCGCGCCGCTCTCCGCGGAAAGTGAGCATTCCGGTTTCGGCAGGGTACCGCGTAAACGTGGAAACGCTTAAAGTGGGACCGCGTAAAGCGAGGGTTGACTGTATACTGTAATTTTATTGCTTTTATTCATCTTGATATGAAAAATTTTACATTTTTCTTGTATTCAAGTGGTTTATGGTCCAAAGTACTGTACTAATTTTGTTCTCATGTTTTATCAGACGTGCCTGGAAGTATCATTAAAGCAGCTGTCAGGGATGTCCGAGATTGGCGACTCAGTTGTACACGTTGACCAGCTATTAGCTGAGGCCCAAGACTTCCATGTGTTAACTGCCGTAAGTCTTTGCCTGTCGACAAGTTTTCATATCCCTCAGTTTCCTCGCCCTTCTGTCCATATACCCCTTTTCTTACTGAAGTTTCCTTCCTGCCTTCATACCAATATGTATCTATAATTTTTTAAACAGGAACCATCTTCTCGGCTCCCTCTTTACACATTCACCCATTAGTTTCTTATTAAACAACTTTCCAAAAACTGGTCACTCATCCATCTACTCACCTAACTCTTCCATCCCTCACAATTCTTGGGTAATCATGGCAGGGAAAATGGTCATAAAAAAGATGATGATGATATCTATATATACAGTGTGTTGTGTATAAAGGATTGTAAGTGATATGTTTTTCATAATTGAAAGTTATTCAAGAAGTAGCTTTTGAATTAAGTTAAAATTTATTATATGAAATTTAATAAAGAAGAGATAATGTCTCATACAGATATGTGTTTATCTTGTCACATCTTTGAAGGATCAACTAGAGAAGGCAGAAGAACTCCGGATTATTGGCACCCAACTTATCGAGAGCCAGCACTATGCAGTTGACTCCATCCAACCTAAATGTGTAGAGTTAGTAAGAATGAGGGATGCTTTTCATGATCGCATTACTAGACGCCTTGAAACTTTACACAAATGCAGAGATCTTCAAGAACGTATTGAACGGGTAAGTTGCCTCATTAAGTGAATGTAAGCGTATTATAAATTGTTCACGGCTGAGCTCTAGATAATATGCAATTATTTTTTGTCAAAGAGAAGAAACAACATACAGTATAGTACTACTTAGCTTGCCTGAAGACCTTGCACTGTATCCTAATTGTTGTAATTGTCCTTGGCATTAATAAGTGTTAAACATTTCTGTACAAGTCACTGCAGTAACAACTCAACCAAATTATTTAATGGTATTTAAAATTTATCAGCATTGGACACATAGGTGAACCACATTTTTTTCAGACCACACCTTTTTTATGTTGCTAAATAAAGGTCAAAGACAGCTTTAGATGACTGTCATTAAATCTAATTTTTGTTTTCATAAGGAACATCTTTTATTCTGCCTAGTGCTTGTTTAGAATCTCCTCCAGTACTGGCCCACATTGAGCAGGGTATAGAACATTGTCCGTTTTTGTTGTATTATCACGTTTACTTTTAGAGTTAAGAAACAAGAACCACCCATAGTTTATAATAAATTGTTTTGCATACGACAGATAAATATTTGGTGTGTTTGTAGTAACCAGAAAAAGCCTTAGAGGAAAAAAAATAAGCTGCAATTTTATAACCTCATGAGAACAATGCAAAGTCAGCAAGTTTTAGGATCCAAATCCCAGGTCCCTAGGCCCAGTCTTGTGTCTGGGAACTAAAATTTAAGAAAATAAAATTAATTTAGAGTATCCCTCACCTTTATATCCATATCTTGAAGGGTAACTGCTTAGTAACAAGGTACTGTACCCAAAATGGGGAGAAGGCTTGAGAATTTTTTTATTACAACTGTACTGTACAGTCCTGTATATACTTGAGGATAGTCTGAGTTTTTATGACAAAATTGTTATGCTAAAAGTCGGATTATATAAGCGTAATATTTTTGAAGGGTTAAAATTACATGAGTTTTCGTGGGGTCATACATGGTGAATGATACAGTAATTACCCACATGCTCGTGGTAGGCTAACCTTACCAGTAAGCTCCTTTATCCTGGGCTTACCTACCATACCTCTAAATTCTTTCATTATGTTGCTTCATGAAGAGCAGAACCTCATTTGCTATAAATGCTGCTTTAAATCTACAATTACTTGATGCAATGAAGATTTACAGATAATTTTCTTTTCATTTGTATCTGTTACATAACTGTGAAATTTTCAATTGTTCCGACCTGTGAACTTTATGTTATAGTTATTTTTCAAGTCCTTTTATTGGATATATATAATTTTTTTTAAACATTTATTTCTCTAATATTTTTATAGTACTGTACAGTTTATAGTACCTATTTTCTTTATTCATAAGGCACTCTGAGATGACTTTTCTGTAAATTCTGTGGTTACTTACATATAACAACAGCATAGGGCATAGTCGTGTGAGAGGTGACTGATGTGTTTTGGGGTTGTAGAAACTTAACACTTGTAGGGCCACTTTTATTACTTATTATAGCTATTTTTACATTATACCATGTTAGATGTTTTAAACAATATTTAGCATCATATTTGGATACACACAGACAGTATAAAACAGTGGATGTGAAACACATACATATAATGAAAATTTATTCCTATATTTGTTAGTGATGTGTATGTGAAATAATGTACAGTATATTGGTACAACATATTATAACGATGACCTCCTTATATGGATTAGGGGACTGTGCGTTTGTCCCGAGTCTGTTGTGTACAGGACGTGTGTATTTACCCCAGACCGGGTCCAGAGAGAGAGCCAGCCTTCTCACTGGGGTAAATACACATGTCATGTCCAAGAGTAAATGTAAAAAGTATGTAACTGGTAACAGTTAGACATGTAAAACTGCAATTAACTCGACAGTATATATAAGATTTTTTCTTGAATGTAGATCCAAAGTTTTTGCATCCTCCACTATATTTACAACGATAAATGTGGCCCAGAGCCTACAAAAGGTTGGGGACCACTGCTCTAATCCATTATTGATTGTCAGCTATACAGTAGCTTTGTGAGGATGAGCAACTCTAGGTCCTAGGCATCTGTTGCATGGTGTGGATGTTCTATTCCATCTCTAACCTTGTATTCCTTGGTCTACATTTTCTCTATGTGAGTAGTATACTGTGTATAGTTAGCTGCTGGGTTGGTTAATCTGCTCTTATGTTACTGTGTTTATATTTCAGTGCACTGTTAATGGTACTGTGGTAATGTGTCTATCTCGTACCACTATGCCCTCCTGGTTTTCTCTGGGTACTCCAATGTCCTTCAGTACTGACACTGTACGATAAAGTTCATAACAAAGAACACACCAAACACCACAAATGACTAGTGAGTGCATAAGTGGTGAAGTGATAAATATAACTAAAAAAGATAATTGGCTTCTAAGAGGAGACTTAAGTTTGGGAGTGCAATAAGTGGGAAGCTCTGGCAAAAGTAGGCTCTGCTGGAGGGCATTATCTATACTGATATGAATCTCGACGGTCACATAGTTCTTCAATTTGGTCATAAAATGGGTTTTTATTTTTTTACTTCAATCCAAAATTTTTAAGGTACTTATAATAATTGTTGTGTGAACTTGGATAGCAAAATTATCCATTTTAATTGCACAATAGTTTAAGTCCTTTTGGTTTTACCATATTTTTTTTTTTTTTTTTGATGATCCTGGAATTTGATGTCTTAATTTGTTATATTTGTAGGCCAATAAATGGTGTACTGAAGGTGTGGAGCTTTTAGCATCACAACAAATCGAGAGATGTCAAGCTCCAGAATTTGCGGAGGAAGCCTTGAGGGAACTAGACGAGTTTATGGCATCATCAGATCACAGTCGGCTGGGTAGCTCTCGGGAACTGAAGACAATGTTTGAGGATGTTATTACTCCTGAGACCAAGGGTCTGGTGCAACAGGTAAGATTTTTACTAGTGAGATTAACAAGGGTGATAAACCCTGTCAGTTTGGGTTTGCAGTTTTAATTAATTTTTAATTCATAGTACTGTATGATAAAGTTTATGATGTTGTAAATTAGATAAGTTATATTGTACAACTATTATTTTTCAGTCAATGGTAGTTGCAAAACCCCTTCTTTACCAAGGCAAGTTTAGTGGATGGGCTAAAAGTCGTGCCCGCCACATCATGTGGCAGAGGAGTGTGTACCATATAAAGGGATGTGTTACTAATTATAATTTCCGATTCATTTCTTCAGTAACACTGTACTGTATTGAATCGGTCCAGGAATTTTGTAAAATACTGAAAAACTGGGGAGGGTGTATCCTGACTCATCTGTAGCTCTACATAAAGGAATAAAGTAAACCCTTTTTAGTATAGGAAGATTAGAACACTAATTCTCACAAATACTCACTTGCAAGTTAACTTCTGAGGCTTAGAATATTACCCCCAAAATCATGGGTCAACTTATGTCCCTATACAGTATATACTATGAACCTTTAATTCCAGCTGAAATTCCTAGTGAATAACAACCAAACTGGTGAACAGAAATGACCCCACAGTGTACTGTAGGTGGCCATCATTTTTAATCAAAAATTTTTTGTGTTAATACTTTTTAATTTACATTTTAAGAATTTACATACAATTTGGATCATATGGTGAATGAATATTATAAATAATAAATTACTATGGTGATGACAGTATGTTTAGTTACATGCTGGAGTAAGTGTCCCACACCATGGTGGTGATTCTGTACATGTAGCAACATTGTAGTGATGGGTGAGTCATGAATTTCCAACAATTATGATAATAAATTTACTTGTAATGGTGATTGAATGTAAATTCAAGTATGGAAGTAAATAGTGTCTAAATAATGAAGACTTAATGAAATGAATGCTAATTAATGTGACAAACATTAATTATGTAGCAGATATCCATAGAGTCACCCAGACAGCATCCAGAGCACAAACCCTCATCATGAGAGACTTTAATCATAAGACAATAGACTGGTTGAACCTTACCACATAAACCAAGGGAGAACAACTCCTTGACCTCATTCAAGACTCAATCCTCATACAACAAGTGCTGGAATCCACGAGGAGAGACAATATTTTAGGTTGAGAAAGCTAAGGTGGACGAGGGCCACGTCGAGGAGAAGTTGTGTGGTCAGCTGATGCAGTCACCCCAGTCAGCTTCACATTATCTTTTCTTAAAATTTTTTAACCAGCCTTTACTGGCACTAAAAGTTGGTTCAGTAGCCGCACTAGCCCCTTCACCACCTGTTGACTCATAAGAATGAGCATAAAGACTATTAGCTTTCTCATGAATCACGTTGCTGTCGATCGGAACATTTTTGCGGTGCTGGTCCTCAATCCAAATGTTCAGTGCTTTCTCTGGTTTTACTACGTTCTTGTCACGAACAACCTGCGCCACTTTAGCACTTGTAGGAGCACTTGCTTGAACAGAATTACAAATTGCTTGTTTACTCTTCTTTATATGCCGCACTGTGGATCCATTCATACCAAACAACTGACTAACTGTGGCAGCACTCATCCCCTCCTTTAACTTGTCTAATAATTTGACTTTCTTTGTGAGGGTCATCACTGACTTTTGCCTGTTACATTTGACTCTACTAGCATCACTAGCACTGACACAAGGCAGTCCTTTAGGGGCTATTTTCACAAGGAAACACAAAGTTTTGAGAGTGCAACACGAGATGCTGGGTCACAGGCACATGGTGAGCGCGAACAGAGGGAGATGAGACTCCGCGGGCACGTGGGGTGACTCATTGTGCTGCGGGAAAAGGCTTGCAAGCTAGCCACCACAGCCGCATCTGCTTATCGCGAATCGTTGAAATTGCGAATCACAAGGCCCACAAATGGCAAGGGTTTACTGTATACATATTTTTACAGCAGAGTTGTTATACAGTAATCCAATAAGTGGGTTGAAATGATACAATATGGGTTGTTTTAGGGTATTGATGATTGTTATAGCAGATATACTGACTCCTGTTAGACCCTAATGCTGTAATGTTCAAGTTTTGTCAGTAGAATGGTATGGTTGACAGTATCAAAACCCTTCAGACAAGATACTATTGTAACATTCAAAATTCTGAAAGGGATGGAAAACATGAACCCAGGACATTTCTTTCTAATGGCATGCACCACCAACACGAGAGGACATAACTACAAGCCTGCCAGAAGCAGGACGAATATTAGGAAATACTTTTTCACACAAAGGCTGGTAGACCTATGGAATGGACTACCAGCCCAGGCTGTGGAATCAAGAACAGTACTGGGCTTGATAAAATTATCAAGAATAATTGAGGGATCCTACACAGGCCACTGGCCTCCTTTCCTTGGCATGGCCACTTTTAGTGGGTAGCCATTAGGTAAATAAGGTACCTACAAAATATTCACCCCTCTCCCCTTTCACCACATCAATATTCATCCTACCAACCACACGACCTCAGTTACTCACCTCAACACAACATGCATGAAAGAAAAATAATAATACGAGTAGTGGGATATCAGAGTGTCATGGTGATACAACCACAGTGGTCCCTCGGTTAACGAGCACAATCCGTTCTAGAAGGTTGCTCGTTAACCGAAACCATTGTTTCAATGGGTTTTTGGGTAATTGGTTCCAGCTCACTGAAAATTGCCTAAATTCAACAAAAAAGGTAGAAAAGTACACTTACTTTGAGGTGTGTATGTAGAAGGCTCCTGGATGATGATGATGATGATGATGGGAATTAGAATGGGGGTGGAGAAGGGAGAAGAGAAGGCATTGGGGTGGAAGAGAAGTCACCCCATGGCGCCATTTCACCCATAAAATTTTAGTTTTCTTAGTGCAATTCAAGATTATTTTCTTTAAATCAACACTGCACTGCATTATATATTGTCAATATGTAAAATAAATTTCAAAATGACCAATAATTTGCTTGCAAAAACAGAAAAAAAGCATTTAGTTGAAGAGGGTCTCAAGCAAGATGTTACCTCCACTGAAAAGATACAAAGACTGACGCCTGTATGGTGTGTTGGCAGGCTGGATGGCGCACATAAAACTAGTTTCATTACTTTCAATTATGTTCAATAATTGTTAAAATGAGTAAAAAATTTATTATTAAATTTTAAAATTATTGAAAAGTATAAACTTCTTGATATTTGCTAAAATGGTAAGGAATCTAAGCCCTAGAACCAATTACTGTATTGGCGGACTAATACTACAGCTGGTGGACCGCCAAATGCAAGCGAAATCATGTTCAGGTTGGCTCGTAAGAAACTCGTTTATCGAGGGATTGCTCATTAACCGAAGTTAAGAATGTTATGGAAGGTAACTCGTTAACCGAAATCTCGTTAACCGAGGCGCTCATTAACCGAGGGACCACTGTACTGAAGTGGAATATCAAGAGTTCTGTGGTAGTACGAGTAGCGGGATATCCGAGTGTTCCACCAATGATACAGGAGCCTTTCATAAGGATACAGTACCAGGTACGTCCTCTGGTGCATTACTTCATGTTCTAGGACATACAAGGTACACCCTTTTGTGTGAAGGAGCTAAGGGTACAGTACCTCATACTAGTTTTAATGGAAAATCCTTTTATACAGAATGAATTTTATCCCATGCCACTTTTATGAGAACAGGATTTTACTGTATTTTCACACAAGGTTTTTAACTGTGCTGAATGAAAATCTTTTGATGTAAGGTTTTCCAGGAACATATCTCTCATAATGGATGAAGGACTACAGTGTTACGTTCTAGATAATCAGATGAAAAATAGTCAGAAGTTATCAGGTAAAGAGAACAGTGAGGACACCTGCTCAGTTAAAGGAAAAGGCCAGGACTGGATGGAATTTGATGCCTGTAAACCATTATGGCTAAGATGAACAGATGGTTTAGTGGTATAGTAATGTCATTTGCTCATTCAGGTCTTCTCCCACTATTGTCCATGAGAGAAAACCTATGCTTCTCTTCTTACTTTCAGGGAAATGGTAGCAGTAGGAGAGGTAGACTAATTGTAAGATTAGTCCCAGCCATTAATGTCGGGTATCTTGGGTCTAGGCCAAATGCTTAATGTTGAAGGGTGGCTAGCCAGAAATATTAACTTATCCTTTGGATTGTAAATACGGGTATGTGGAATATCCTTTTCTTTGAATGAAATGTAAAGAAGTTATTAATCTTTTAGGTGCTCAAGCGGATAGAAGATGTACAAATGATGTGTGAAAAGCGAAAGAGTTCCTTAAAGAAACTTGCAACACGCTTGCCCCGTCCTGTGCATGCTGTGACACCAGAACCCGCTGTACCTCTTTACTACCCCCAAGGACAAACAAGCTCACATCCACACTCACATCCAGCTTCACCACTACATGCTGACCTCCCTAAGTCTCCTAAAAGTATGAGGAAGGCTTCAACTCTACCTAAGGTGAGCATAAGAGCCTTTTCATGAAGAATTGGCTTAAACTTACTGTACACAGTAGTCTTGTATTCTTATTTTTATAGTCATTATGGTATTGTGAGATGATTGAATCTCTATAATCATAAAACCTCACCAGCAAGGAATCGAACCCTCGACCTACTGGGTGTGACTAGGGAACGCTTACCGGCTAGGCCACAAGGACACTAAAAGCAGTTCTAGACTCTGTTATATTTCACACAAAGCCTGTTCATCGAGCTGATGGCGCCGTGAACCTCAATGGGAAACTGCCCGTGCCTCTTATGTGGTGTCAGTAGCATTTTACCGAATGCAGCTGGTATGAAACGCGAGGTACATATATATACTTCATTTTTAGATCCAGAAAAAGGTAATGGCATGTAGATCAAATGTTTCAATTGGGGAGGTTAAACGAAGCACATCTGGAATGAGGGAGAGAATTTGTTTATGGCAAACAGTAAACCCCCAATATAATGGACTAATTGGGGGGGGGGGGAGAACAGTCCGTTAAAGCCAAAATTCTGTTATCCAGATCTGGAATAACGGATTCGGTCCATTATATACCAACAAAGTCCGAAGTGACCATGTGGGTCACTTTTCACCACCAACACCAGTACTCGCCACCAACACTCACCATCACCACCACTTACCAACACTCACCATCACCACCACTTGCCAACACTCACCACCAACACTCACCACCAACATTCACCATCACCACCAACACTCACCACCAACACTCACCATCAACACTCATCATAAACTCATCATCACCACCAACACTCATCACCACCACCAACACTCATCACCACCACCAACACTCATCACCACCACCAACACTCATCCACTACCAACCATCCACCAACACTCACCACCAACACTCACCATCAACACTCATCATAAACTCATCATCACCACCAACACTCATCACCACCACCAACACTCATCCACCACCAACATCACCACCACCAACCACCACCAACACTCCTCACCACCACCAACACCCCATCACCACCACCAACATCACTCCAACACTCATCACCACCTCCAAACCAACTCATCACCACCACCACCATCATCACCACCACACTCACCACCAACACTCACCATCAACACTCATCATAAACTCATCATCACCACCAACACTCATCACCACCACCAACACTCATCACCACCACCAACACTCATCACCACCACCAACACTCACACCACCCAACACTCATCACCACCACCAACACTCATCACCACCACCAACCTCATCATCACCACCAACATTCACCACCAACACCCACCATCACCACCAACACTCACCACCAGCACTCATCACTCATCATCACCACCACACCACCACCACCTCACCACCACCACCACCACCACCACCACCACCAACACTCATCACCACCACCAACACTCATCATCACCACCAACACTCATCATCACCACCAACACTCATCACCACCACTCACCACCACTAACATTCACCACCACCAAATGGTGTTTACAGGATGAAAACACGTTCAAACTGGGTGACGAAGTTGCGGCCTGCAGGTTAGCGGAGTAACTAAAGTCACTCTACACGTTAGTAATGCGTATGATACTGGTGTGTTGTAGATGGTGGGGGTGATGCATAATAATGACCGCTGCACTGCCAGGCACAAGTGAACTGCTGACTTGTATGTATTATATATTTTTATTTTATTTTTTTCTTGTAAAAAATAACTTGGGTCACAAATATTCACTATAATATGGGAAATATGTCAAATAAAGAGAAAGCATGTCAAGTAAGTTGAATTCTACCAGGAAAATTTTTTACACAAGAAGGAGAGCGCTGATTGGCTGTGAGCATACATGGGTACGTCGCTCTCATTGGCAGAGAGAATGTAAACAAGCATGGCCACTGTCTTATAACTTCTACTTTGAATGTATTATGGAATTTTTTTTTCTTGTAAAAAATAACTCCAGGACAGGACCAAAGAGCTCTGTAACGAATCAGTGTTATGGAAGGTAGGGCTAAATGGGTATTACTGTAATTATTGGTGATAATTTGGATATGAATGGACCCGAATCCATAAGTTTTTTACTTTTTACTTTAATGGACTCGAGTCTTTTATTTTCTACTTTGACGGTCCTGAGTCTGTAATATATGAACCTAGTCCGAACGGGTCAGAGTGTCCGTTAAAGCTGAGGTCCGCTATAGACAATGTCCATTATATTGGGGGCTACTGTATATGGATACACAATAATGATGAGATGTAGTTTGCTAACTTTGTCTGAAGTTGTTAAGCTCAGGTCATGAAAATAGATTCCCTCTTTAACTCTTGAGTTTCTTCAATCTGTTCTGACAAAGCTTTTATCCTCCTACCTCCCAGCACAATATTATTTTCTTATGCAGATGACCTAGCAATAGCCTCCTAACATGGTCAAACATTACTGGCTTCTTGCATAAAGCTAGGATTCCATTCACACATTTGCAGTGCATTGCATTTTCAATCGCTACAAGGAACACTGCAAACGCAACCGTGCCAATGGAAACAACCATGTACATTTCAGTGTCGTCTAATTTTGGCACTAACGCTAATGCAACCGCTAATGCGTCAATGGAATCCTAGCTTAATACTGTAAAGAAATACATACCTGCATCTGAACAATAGCTATACAACATCATCAACCTTAAATTCTATTTTGTAACCTTCACCCCAGATGGTCATTTGTTGCAAATTAGCTCACATAATTATCACATTATTTAACCCACAACTCCCACAATACAAACACCCAAAAATCCATGTCATCAAACTGTGCTCACAAATTTACACTTTGCCTGGGTCACTCCACTCCTCTCCCTTTGATAGACAGCTCTGCACCTCCTTTCAATGACCATCTATTTTTCATTATTCCTTTTTTTTTCCTCAAACATCTTGGAGTTACATGGACCATGTGGAAACAAGCAGCATATGGCCTGAGTTACCTCGTATCTTTGATTTAATTTGGTAAATATTAATTTCAAAAGTTATGTGAAAACAATACCTATTGCAAATAAATAAATTTCAAGACTATCAAGGTATTGTATTGGCATATGTATTCAATCAGACAATAATTGTTTATAAGTTTTCTACTTCTGGTGTAATGGCACAAATTCCTTTACTACATATTATTTCAGACTTAGTCCTTTTATTCTTCAATACTTGATATACTTATTCTTTTATATTCTTGCTTATATTCTTATATAAGTAACTCTTATATTTTTCTACTTATATTTTCCAAGTCAATGTTCTTCCTTTTCATGTTCTTTCATATATATTATATTCTCTTCAATATATGTTGTTCTAGTTATATTCTAAACCATGGATTAATCTGGGAAACCATGTCTTTCTTATTACCACACTTATTATACTTACAACAGTAGCCTGCCACCACCCAGACATTTATTAGAATATAACATATCTTAGTTAACTGTTAGGTAGAGAGCTTCTAGGCTCGTGAGTTAGTTATTTTCTGAGAACCAATGTGTGAAAGGAATAGAGTGGTGATACTCGTAGTCTACCAATTCAACATTTATTTACACAAGGAGTGAACAATATGTTAATCAAGTACACTCAAACCTGACTGGACCACTCAGGTCCCACTTTATCATTCATAAAATAGGGCTTCAGTTACTTATTATATCATTAAACAACTTCAATTACTTATACATCATTAAACAACTATTAAGTTCACTCAGACAAGATTGGACACAGGTCTTACTGTACCATTGATAAAATAGATCCGCAATTACTTATTACATCATTAAACAATTTCAATTACTTATTACATCATTAAACAACTTCAATTACTTATTACATCATTAAACAATCATTATATTATGTCATTGTCACTACAGATGGCTGTATGACACACTTGACAATATCCCGAATTTAAATATTATTTATAACAATGCGCTATTTCGGAATGAATAACATGGTATTTCTCCCTCAATTGATGTACTCAACTCACACCACATATGTACTGATACCATCAATTGTTATGGGATCACTACTCAACCTGTTATTTATCACCAATCATATATTATCACCAATCATATACAAAAACAATAATACTTAGGCCCATATAACTGTAAGGAGTGCCCCAGGGTGTCGCTGGTGTCACCACAACAAATGAAAAACGCTGTTAAGGTCGGTTGTAGTCCAATACAACGCAAGGGAGTTCGGAGTCACGGTAATTCCTAAGGTGCAACTCGCACAGTTTAATCCTGCCAAATTAATGCCATCTTCCAATGCAGCCAGCTGGTATGCAGTTATCGGTCCCCGGTAGTTGTTGGATATTCCACTAACACACACTGTGCCTGTGACAATGATGGAGAAATGTCAGAGCAGTCTCGCTCTCCTCCGTGCACTAGCTTATATACGGCTAACTGGCAACTCAGGCCTGGTGGATCACATGCCAGAAAGGTCAGTCACGCAATGACAGAAATTTCATTCAACTCGATCACTGTACATTTAATTATGACAACCAATTGCCACCGGTCAGGCGAATATCCTACGTCTATTCATATAATCTAATCAGAGATTGAGCTTGCCAGGAAAAAGTGGAATTGCACACGTTGATAACATTAGTTCTCCCAACATAAGCGAATTTCTAGACAAGGACCCTCTATGGGTATAGGTTGAGATCTTGGAGATAAGAAGTTTGACATGTTCTTTTAGGAGATTATTGGCTTTCTTGAATAGACAACTGACACTAGCGAAACTACAAACATCAGATTCTCTGATGTTTGGGCATCAAAATGATCTAATTTCAGTAGTACTCAGAAATGCATGGCTATAACCATGGACAATATCCTTGGACGCTATTCGTACTGGCAGACTCGACACTCACTTACTTAACAAGTGTTACGAACAATAAAGACAGTTAAAGCTTTCAACATCACTCACAAAGGATCTTGTATGCTTTAACTGTAATCAAACACATCTAAGTTGACTCAAAACAATGTTGGTCTCTCACATTCAAATTTACTTTATAGAGAGGTTGGTTCAGGAAGCCAGAGAAAATGGGAAAACGGACGACTCAGGCATCTTGAAGCGATGAGAAAACGGATGCCCCAGAGGGGAGACTCAATAAAGAAGGCATAGTTACATGTTTTGTGGGCGATTGAGCATAATATGAGTCGTCTGATTTTACGTTAAATAACATGTCCGACCATGGTCATTACACTGGGAAATGTTGCGACTCGCTAAAAGCTTCTGCACCATCATCATTTAAAACTCACGTTTATGGAAGTCAACTTCTAAATAGACTGTATTTAATGTGTATGTTTTGTTTTGTTTTAATTTAAAGTATGTGTACAACAATATTTTCTTGATTTTATTATTTAAGAAGCAAAACAAATGTTCCACTTACCGGTAGTTTGTGTGAGTGTGTAGAAGCATAGTTGTCTTGGCAAGTGAAGAAAATTTTACCAAACCCAGGGAATAGAATGACCTGTTTTTGAGAATCTCATGTTTTCTGAGATCTGGTTTTACTTACTAGGAGGAAGTGATCCTCTTGATGAATTTTTGTCAATAAAATTGAAACAGTGACTTGGTGCATAGTGCCAGAGTGGGTGTCCAGTGCCAGAAATGGTGCAGTGTTTTTGCCTACACTGCCAAAAGTATGTTTGAGGATCAGGATACAAAAGTCATCATTAGATTTTGTGCACCATCAGATGTCCATCAGGGATCACTATGAAAATATTTACTTTTGAGCAGAGAATAAAGCTGGTTCAATCACCATTAAACACTCTTCACCTACTACTGGTAATGTACTTAGAAACAAAGTACAGTAAGACCTCACTAATTCATAGAAGAGTATGCAATATGGGAAAATTTTTATATGATAAGATATGGGGCATAGCAAATGAAAATTATTTATGCTCTTTATGTGGAGAGAAAAGTGTGTACGGTGTATTTAGTTTATCTACACTATATATTGATAGTGTTTCTTTTCAGTTGCTGCTGTTCTGTATTAGATGTTAGTCATTTGTTCTTTTGTTATATTCTAACCCTGAATATTCAGTAAAATTGGCAGTCTTTCAGTCCCAAGGGTGTACATATTAAATTGTTGCTACACTACTGTGTAGTGCAAGATTTAATGCTATCTTAAGGAAAAAACAGTGAAGATATAACTGCACATGGTAAATTCTTGTAAACGCAGCAGAATGGAAGTCTAGAGTTAACAGTTCTGAGACAGGAAAAAATGTGAGAATTGAAGTTCTGAAACTTGAGGTTATAGTTAGGGGTTTGATCTTAGTTACTGGATAGGGATTCATCCTGGTAATTTTTTGTCTTCCAGGATTGAAGATCCTTCCTTGCTAATTATTGATACTCTTGGTGAGAAGTTTCTTGTGTAGCCTAATATTGCAGTCATCCCCCTGAACAAGGAGGTGCTCCATAAAAGGGAATCTCACAAGTCACTTGATGAATGTAATGTATACCAAAACAAGAGCAGAGATTATATAATCTTTCCTAAAAATTCAGAGAAGAAATATTAAATATGAAAGGATTTACAAAAGTTAGAGAAGAAAATTCCTGTTTATTCAAGGAATAAAGAAGGCTTTTGAGTAAAGGATATTCCACTATTTTGTACTTTGAAATATAGTAATTTTTCTGGCTTTTTAATGGATTTGTATTATCAGGATCAGGTTCAAAACCACTGTTTCAGCATTGTTTTGCTTGGAAATGATTTAGAAAAGCACAAAAACCATCCAAGGCTATGTGGTTAGTCATTTCATATGCCACAGTATTAGTCTTTGAGATGAAAAGCACAGCAGTGATACATTGAGATCTGAATATTCTCTTTAGCAGAAATATCTAAAGAGTTTTCCCCTGGATTAGATGTTGCGTTTGAAGCCAGGAGGCCAACCCATCAAGCGTCGACCCAGACCTGTGACAGTCTGCCTTGGACAAGATGTAGAATTTTGCAGGCCAATTACTGAAGTTTCACTTGGGGTACAGCAAAGGGGAATTGTTAAAAGAAGGGAAAGTTATACACTTGGATATCTGAAGCATGAAAATAATTTTCCTGCATACTCACCAGGGATATACATAATGGGGCCACAGATCATTCAGAACATTCAGCTGTTGAATGTACATATGAAACACAGAGCAAAAGTAAGTGTTTAGTTCGCATATATCTCCTGTTACGACACCCAATGGATGTTCGAATATTCGCTCACTGATGCACTGCCAAGGCTATAGCAGCACTGAACTGAGAATACTATGTAAATGACATATCAGAAATAATACTGGACACCCTGTAAATTTACTGCACATATTTGAGAATCACCCTGTGTATATATACCGTATTGAACACAGCAAACTTTTTAAAGTTATATATACTTGAGTGCTAAGATATTCTATTTTCCAAGTGCTCTTTGCTTTTTTCCCCTCTCACCATGTCCAACTACAAGTGACATATCTTAGCACCAAAAATAAGTTTTAGATATTAGTATTTTATGTTCTTCCATTTAGTGTATTTAATGTGTTATTTTATTTTGAAAGTACAATACTGTATATCAAAGAAACTGGTAGTGAAACCCAGGTATGAAATTAAGAATCATGAGCATTTCCTTATTTTTTCTGGTGTAGACAGTTCTTATGTTCAGAAATTGAAGGTGTCATGGCTGAGGGATCAGCAGGTATGTGTTTACCTCATAGGAGTATAACTGAGCAGTGCTGTTGACCAGTAGTTAATAACTCACAGTATACTAATGTTTGTTGCACATACCCAGAAGTCAGGTGGGTCTAGCAATAGACTGTAAACTACTTCTTTTCGTCTTCTTTTTACGGGGAATAGCCCACCCGGGCACAGGTCATCGACCCACAACGGGGACCAGATATTCTTTCCATTTCCCATAATGCAAGCCACTTATGTATACCATTCAACCTTCTTCTCCCACTGTTCACTGTGTTTAGAATTCAGGATCAGTCCATCGCTCACAGTTTTTTTTCCTCCCTGATTGTTATCAAAGGCAGGGATACAGACTAACTTGGCACCTGGCTGGTTGCTTCTGTGAAAGCTAAGTGTCAAAGCCCCTTAAGGGGATTTCAGGGATAGTTGGCAGAAACTATTGCAGTACTTGGTGGTATTATGACAGCTATCATTTCATGACATTTGCTTACATTTTATATTAGAATAACTGAGTCTGGGTTAGTCTTGTACTGGAGTGGTTATCCTTGTCCCCAGGCCTGGCCCTGTAACCACCCTCTCACACACACATACTGTATGTACTTTGTGTGTGTGTGTGTGTGTGTGTGTGTTTTTTCTCTTCTCCGCTGATTTCTTGGCCTTGCCCCAGTGGGAGTGATATGATAAAGAGTCATCCCATGAATACAGGACTGGAGGTGAATACATATGGTTAGCACACATGAAAAACATGTCTTTGTGGCTAGCTTGAACAGGTTAGTCTGGACGAGTGAATTTTTTATTAGAAATTCCCCAAGTCTACCCAATAATTTGTGCATGTAGTGGGGGGGGGGGGAGCTACAGATTTAACCTGTCAGTTAAGGGTTGAAGTTCTTAATTTAGACTTGAAAATAGCCCAGAGGATCTTCCCACAAAATGGTTTAGTGGTGTAATATGTTATAATATGGAAAACATGATATATACAGTAAATAAAAGGTTTTATTTAGAAAAATTATTCAGAAGAGGTCTTTAGGATCATCTGTGTAGACAATTGATTAATTGAGATCATCTTGGGATATGATACATGGAGGCACAGTAAACCCTCGATATAATGGACTAATTGAAGAGAAGGCCAGTCTGTTAAAGCCAAAAATCCGTTATATCTGGATCCGGAATAATAATAAACTCGGCCCGTTATATACCAACACAGTTTGATGTGACCACATAAGTCACTTTTTACCACCAACACTCGCCATCACCACCATCAACACTCACCACCACCAACCCTCGCCATCACCACCGCCAACCCTCGCCATTACCACCACCAACACTCACCACCACCAACACTCACCACCACCAACACTCACTGCCACCAACACTCACCATCACTACCAGCACTTGCCATCGCCACCAATATTCCCCACCACCATCACTTTTCACCTCCACCACAACCACCAACACTTGCTACCACCAGCAATCACCACCACCACCAACACTGACCATTACCACTCACTACCACCAATACTCATCACCACCACCACTCACCACCACTAACATTCACCACCACCTAATGGTGTTTACAGGATGAAAACACTTTCAAACTGGGTGACGAAGTGGCGGCCTTTAGGTTAGCAGAATAACTAAAGTCACTCTACACGTTAATAATGCGTACAGTACTGGTGTGTTGTAGATGGTGGTGGGGGTGATGCATAATAATGACCTCTGCACTGCCAGGCACAAGTGAACTGCTGACTTTTACATAATATTAATTTTCAGCTTTTTTTTTTTTCCCCAGTAAAAAGTAATTTGGGTCACAAATCTTTTCTATAATATCCAGAAGTCTGTCATGTAAAGAGTGAGCGTGTCAAGTAAGTTGAATGTTACTGGGGAATTTTTTTACACAAGGGGCAAAGCTCTGATTGGCTGCGAACGTTCATGGGTGTGTCGCTCTCATTGGCAGAGAAAATTTAAACTAAAATGGCTGCTGTCAGTGAGTCTTAAATGTTATGTTTTGTAACTTCTGCCTTGTATTATGGATTCTATTTTTCCTGAGTAATAAAATAACTCCAGGAGAGGACCAAAGAGCTCTATAACGAATCATTGATATACAGGAGAGGACCAAAGAGCTCTATAACGAGTCAGCGTTATACAGGAGAGGACCAAAGAGCTCTATATAACCAATCAGCGTTATACAGGGTAGAACTAAATTGGTATTACAGTAAACCCTTGTTATTCGCGGGGGTTAGGTTCCAAGGAATGGTGTGAATTGGCAAAACCGCAAATAGCAACTTATACTACCTTAGTGCAATACTGTATACCTATACAGTGATCCCTCGGTTAACGAAATTTCGGTTAACGAATTCCTTACGAATTTTTCCCAACATGTTTACGCCTGCTTTTGCCTGCTCACCAGCTGTAGTATTATAGTCCGCCAATACAGTAATCGGTTTTAGGGCTTAAATTCGTTACCATTTGAGTAAATATCAAGAAGGTTTTACTATTCAATAATTTTCCAAGTCTTATATTAAAGTTTTTAGTCATTTTAACAATTATTTAACATAATTGAAGTACAGGGAACTAGTTTTTAGCGCGCCAAACAGCCGTTTGACTCCCCCAGAATGGCGTCACTTTGTGTCTGCTCAGTGGAGGAAGCATCTTGCTTGACTCTCTCTTGAACATAAATTATTTTTACGTTTTTACAATACAATTATTGGTCATTCTGAAGTTTATTTTACAAATTGACAATATATAGTGCAGTGCAGTGTAGTGTTGATTTAAAGAAAATAATCTTGAATTACACCAAGTGAACTAAAATTTTATGGGTGAAATGGCAGCATGGGGTGACTTCTCTTCCACCCCAATGCCTTCTCTTCTCCCTTCTCCTCCACCCCCATTCTAATTCCCATCATTATCATCATCAACCAGGAGCCTTCTACATGCATACCTCAAAGTAAGTGTACTTTACTGCATTTATTTTTAGTTTGTATGTAATTTTCGGTGAGCTGGAACCAATTACCCAAAATCCCATTGAAACAAGGTTTCGGTTAACAAACGATCTTCTGGAACGAATTGTGTTCGTTAATCGAGGGACCACTGTATCATACAACCGACCAGCTGAGGCAGCACTCGTCCCCTCTTTTAACTTATCTAATAATTAAACTTTCTTTGTCAGGGTCATCACTGACTTCTGCCTTTTACATTTCACTCCACTAGCATCACTGGCACTGACACTCGGCAGTCTTTTAGGGGCCATTTCACACAAACGCTAAAGTTTTGAGAGTACAACACGAGATGCTGCATCACAGGCAATGGTTGAGTGCAAACTGAGCGAGAGGAGACATTGCGGGCACATGAGGTGATTCACTGCGCTGCGGGAAATGGTTCTCAAGCTAGCCACCATCTGCTTACCGTGAATCGCAAACCCATGAATGGCAAGGGTCTACTGTACAGTACTGTAATTAATGGTGATAATTTGAATATGAATGGACCTTAATCTGTAAATATTTTACCATAGTGAACCTGAGTCCGATATTTTCTACTTTAACGGGCCTGAGTCCGTAATTTATGAACCTAGTCCAAATGGGTCAGAGTGTCCGTTAAAGCCAACGTCCATTATAGACAGCGTTATTATATCTGGGGTTTACTGTACTCATTTTTAAGTAGTATTCTTTACCAGTCTAATGTTTCGGTGAACAAGAAGTCTAGGCTTTCACCTAATCAAGGTTTTAGCTGTAAGATTCACATGGAACAAAGAAGAGCTGTTAGGTTCACTGCAAAGGTGGTTTGTTTTTGGAAAGGCAAATTGGCAAATTTATAATCTATGTAATACTGTATACAGTAACTTGTTAATATGCCCACTGAAGGCTGTGGACTTAGGTTCCAGGGAAGTCCTAACATAATGGCGAATAGGCTAAAAATAAAAGAATTGCATTTTCTCCCCACAAATGCCTCTCGCCTTTAAGAAGTGGAAAGAGAGAAATTAGAATTCTGGGAGCAGAAGTGTCAGATGTCACACAGTTCATGTGTGATCCATTAGAAGTTATCTTGGTATTAAATTGAGACCAAGACCAGTTCTAACACCCCAGGCAACCATGTTCATCAGAAAGATACATGCTGGTCTCTTAGTATACTTTTGCTGAATGAATTAGGGCTACACAATTGTAGGTGTTGTTTTTAAGGTAAGAGTAGACTTTGCTTCCATACTTGCAACTGTTTATTTGTATTTACAACCTAAAGAGGTGGTAGCTGATGTGATGAATGGGGGTTGTCTGCTCACCCTGGTACAGTAGGGATTGCAGAACATGAGTCACAGTGTGAAGCCCAGTGTTTGATACTTTGCATCTCAGGTTTTGGGAGATGTACCCTGTGCAGTGAAGCAGAATAGTGGCATAGCCTGAGCTGTTTGGTTACATTTGCAAAATTCCCATTGGTTCACCACCACCATCCCTGCCTTTGGATTTGGCGTGGCTTGTAGGTAGGATCCTTC